GGCAGTCCCTGACCAGAAAAGATTCCCAGAGCTGATCCTATGAGTGGGATCCGTAGCTGATAGGATTTTGGAGCTAGAAGGGTCTCAAGCCGGTAGTCCGGAGGGTGAAGCAGTGCTGGACCCAGGACTCCCTGAATAAACCCAGTTGAGAGGGAAAAGTGGGGGTGGCTGCTGCGACTGCTGTATCTACTGGAAGGGACCTGATGACAAATGACATTGTGACATCTGCCATGCCCACCCGTGTTCTGTGTGAATTTCTGGCATAAAATTCCTTCCAAGGAAAAGGAGGTGGCCATAGGGAATGTGAGAGGAGTCACTGAGACTCAAAAAGGTATCCATGGTTTCTGATAATATTTCTGGTTAAAAATCACACCTTTTGTTTATTTAACAAATCAGTGTCAAGAGGCAAGGTGCCACAATAGGTGAGAGCACAGACTGCCTGAGTTCCAATCCTGGCTCTTCCTTCGTGACCTGGGGGCCTTGGGCAAGGTACTTCACTGCCCCTGGCCACCTGGTTTGAACCCCAGCTCCCCACTGACCAGCTAGCTTTGGGCAAGTTACTGATAAATAAATGGCAAGCAAGTGGACATATTGGAGCATATGAGGAAGCCATTTGGTGTAAACCTAATTCGGCCTGACCTCATTTTTCCAAAAGGGGCTGGCCTTTGAGCATGCCTTGTATATCTGCTTTAAGCGTTTGCTATGTCCCAAAGACAAGAACAAATGCCCTTAAGATAAAGGTGCAACTTCCCCCACATTGGCATTTCCTGTAGGCTAAGCCTCTCTCCCTAGACTAGGAACTGATTGCTGTGCTCACCTGTGACCACCCAGCTCACCTGTGACCACCCAGCTGGAGACAACAGACCTGCCCCCTGCTGTGTCCATTGAGACAGCAGACCTACTACCTGCTGTGTGAATCGCTGTGCCAACAAGGCAGTCTCGTGACTGTTGTAAAAGGGACATTCCTATCATATGTGATACATGCTCTTTGTTCCAAGACAGTATATAACCACTCCATACACCCCACTTCTTTGGTACCCTTCCTTCATCGGGGAAGGAAGACCCTGGGCTATATGGTCCTCATATCTGGCTCATAATAAACTCACCCCAGTTTTGATTTATAGATTGCTTGTGGATTATTTATCTCGACAGCACTTAACCTCTCTATGCTCGTTTCTTCGTCTGCAAAACAAGAAAACTAGCCTGTCGCACAGCATCATTTTAAAGATTGAGTTAAAGTTTGCGAAGCATTTGAAAAGTACCTGGCCAGCATTTACAAAAATTAACTCAAAATAGACCAAAGGCCTAAATATAAAACTATAAAGATCTTAGAAGGAAACATAGGGGTAAATGCTCGTGACTTTGGATTTGGCGATGGATTCTTAGCTATGACTCCAAAAGCACAAACTGCAAAAGAAAAAAGTAAAGTGGGCTTGATCAAAACTGAAAGCATTTCTCCTTTATGGTCTAGCTCAGACATCACCTCCCCCATGAAGCCTCTCCTGATCCCTCCATTGAGAATGAGTCTTTATCATGATGATGGGAACAGCAACAGTGGCAGGCACATCACTGAGCCCTTCCTTGTACCAGGCGCTGTTCTGAGAGCTCTGAATTTGTCACCTCACTCGTCTTCCTATCCACCCTAAGATTACATTCTGTTGTTATCTCTATTGACAGTTGAAGAAACAGAGGCACGTAGAAGTCCAGCAGCTGGCCCAGGTGTTGTGACACGCCCACTGTGCCATCCCGGGACGTGGTGTAGACTCCCTCATGTGGCTGGGAGCAGACTGAGATGTGTAGAATCCACGCGCTCATTTGTAAATGTGAACTCCTCAGGGATGGTGTCTGCCCGCACATCCTCACGTCCCTGTGTGTTTGGCCCTCAGTTACTCCTGCAGGAGTGGGAGAGCCGGAGACATAGGAGGACCTGGGTCATGGAGGGCCTTGAACCCCAGACCAGACGCTTAAACTCTGTTCCAGGGTTAACAGAAAGCCAGTTCAGGTTTTCAGTGACAGAGTGACCTGACAAAGCGGGTGTTTTAGGAAAGACCAACCTGGACTGCGCTGCGTGAGATGAATTGGGAAGGGCATGGCGGGAAGCAGGGACACCCGTTCCTGCAGATTAAGCTGAGTGGAGGTGCAGGAAGTTCACGGCAGGAGAGGAGCGGCTGTCTTCCCGTGTTGCGGGTGGGTGAGGGGTCCGTGCGGCGCACAGACTGATGGAGAGGTCTCCGCACACCTGGGCAGGGGAAGCCTGCCACAGGAAGCAGAAACTGAGATGCCGAGCCTGCGTGGTGCCACGGTGTGCACAGCAGCGATGGAGAGCGAAGCACTCAGCCGCTCGGCCCAGTGTCTGATCCCGCCCAGGCCCAGCACCCGGGATTTCCTGCCCTTCAGTGCTTAGCATCACGTAACCACAGACAGAACTCCATACCTTCCGTCATCTTCTACTCAGATATCTTGCCCTGGATGTCAAAAGGAAAATGTAGAATCTCTCCAAACCCAAATGCACTCTTCCTTATAACTTGTTTCTTTTCCTTTTCCTCCCATTAAAAATAAAGCCAAGGTGAAAAGGGATTGGATATCTATCATGGCAAATTCTACTTAGAATATTAATTGGCTACAGTCAGATTTGATTCAACAATTTATTGTAGGCTTAGAACACATAAAAGAAGTTAAAATTTAGTAATACATCTCGCCCTTAGACAAACTCGTAAGAACGGCTACTGAGATTAAATTAGGATGTGTACTCGCGTCTGGAAGTTTTCCAGCTCATTTCTGGTTGAACTGCACACTGGAAGAGTCAGGAGGCCTGAGCAGAAAGCTCCTACTTGACAGACAGTGCTTTCAGGCCCATCCTTCCATGAGAACGATCTTTGGAAACTGCCCTTTTTGCATTTCCAGTTTAAAATGTCAATATTTACACTATTTCCTAGATTGCACAAAATACCCTCTCTCAATGGTCTCTTAAGTGACACTGACATTATTTTTTCTAGAATTTCTTAAAAAACCAAAAAGCTGATTTGAGTCCTGTTCTTGGTCCACGTAGCTCAGATTCCAGAGACATTGGGTATCTGCACAGTACGACCAGCATCGTGTTCTGAGGTACCTGTGGGGGTGTCAGGCACAGAATTTGGATACAGAAAACACAGGGCAGAATTGATCATCGCCTCGAGAACACAAGTATTTTGTAGGCTAATTTATACTTCAAGAGCTTCAGGAGACATTAGGTTTTTCCTGGGCCACTGGGTCATAAATTTGGTTGCCCATTGGAATCACCTGGGTGTTTCTTAAAAATGCTGATGCCAGGATGCCTCCCCTCGAGCCTGATCATTGGGCTGGGCTGCTGGACCTAGCAGCAGGATTTGTAAAGGCTCCCCCGATCATTCTAATCTGCACCAGAATTCGAGAGCACTGACCTAGACTTCCTCCTCCCCCGCCTCACAGAATTGGTTGACCCAAGGTCAGAACTGTAATATCTTCCTGCGCACCCCAACTCTCCAAATGGGTCCCCATCCCCCAGCCGCCCCAGAGAACAGCTCAAGAACGACTTTGCGTCATCCCACTACTTCTCCAGACCTCTGTCCACTCCCCATGGTCTGTGGGTCCTTCCAGCTGTCTCCTGGCTGGTCTTGCTCTGCCTGTCCCCATCGCCAGCAGTCCTTCAGACGACTGGAGCCAACTCCTGCCTGGCCCGCCGTCCACGGTCTTGCTCACTTCTCATCACCACACTGCCCCGGGCTCATCTTCAGAAGACTCACATCTCGCTGTGTTGCTCCACTTCTCCGGCCTCTGTCCAGGGCTTTCCACTACATGCGATTCTGTAACATGGCGGACAGACCCTCTGGGAGCTGGGCCTGCTGCCCCTCCTTCTTGTCCCCGACAGGACAGCTCCCGGGGGCCTTTGTGCAGGTGCTCCATCACCCCTTGCCGTGCATGCCTCTGGTTTTCTCTCAGGCTGTTCCTTCTGTGTAATCTAGCTTCTCAGCCCCTTGCTTCGTCCCACTCCTCATTCAGATCTCAGCCTAAACTTCGCTTTCTCAAAATCCTGACACACTCCACAACATGGATGAACCCTGAGGACGTTTTGCCAAGTGAAATTAGCCAGACGGAAAAGGACAAATGCTGTATGATTCCACTCATATGAGGTCCCTAGAGGAGTCAAATCCATAGACACAGAAAGTAGGATGGGGGGGCCAGGGGATAGGGGTGGAGGAATGGGGGGTTATTGTTTAATGAGGGCAGAGTTTCCGTTTAGGAAGATGAAAAGTTCTGAAGATGGATGGCGGTCATGGTTGCACAACAGTGAATGTATTTAATGCCATAGAATTTTACGCTTAAAAATGGTTAAGATGGTAAATTTGAGGTCGTGTATATTTCAGCACAATAAGAAAAAAATTTTCCATCACTGTCTCAGGGAATCCTTGCCTGTCCTTTGGCCTAAGTCAGAGAATGCTCACCTAGGTTCCCAGAGCTCCCACCTATCCCCATCGGAACGTTTTCCTGTTAAAAGTTTCTCTGTTTTACCAGACTGTAAGTAGGATGAAAGCACATTATATATTATACGTCCCACTTCATTTATCACTGTGCTCCCCTATGATTGGGAGAGTAGATGCCCGCAAAATAATTTTTGATGAATATTGAGTGAATAAATCCCAGATTTCAGTTTCCCAGCCCTCCAGTCTGAATTGCTAGGAAAAATACAATTGCTAAAATACTCATGCCATCTGGTGTTACAGCACCCAACAGGATCAGACACATCGTCCAGTCGTGGTAAACGATCTCACTGGCTGCGCTCTGTGAAGCCTGAGTCTCTGATGAACCTCAAACGTAGATTGTACTGGAGCCGGGTGAACCCCAACCATCCTGAGACTGCCCTTGTTCTGTCAAATAAACAGCAGGAAAATGCAAACCCCATTGCTCCTTTCAGATTTTTTGAGAACACCCTATTTATAACCACTTCCTTGGTTAACGCTATGTTTTTTCTCTTCCCAAATTAGATATTTATCTTCGAAAACAATATCTACTACTGCGCACACGTCGGGAAGCAGGCCATCCGCGTGGTCTCCACTGGGAAGGAAGGCGTGATTTACAATGGCCTTAGTGACTGGCTGTACGAAGGTGAGGGCGCCGGAGGCAAGGAGCAGGGGCTTCTGTGCTCGCTGTGGGCTCCTGCTGCTGCTAGATTGGGGTTGTCTGTTGTGTCTTTTCCTTTGACTTTATTAAATTAAACTCCTGTTTCTGAGGTTCCGCTAAATTAAAAAGATACCAGTGGAGCTTCAGGCTGTCAGCAGGAGCCTGAACTGTTGAGCACGCACCTGGTGACCAGGTGTTCAGAGCTTCCCAGAACCCAGGCTGCCCCTTGAAGGGCAGGTGGCGTTGTACTGGGAGGTCTATTGTACCAGAAGGTGACTTCTGGGCACATGTGGGGCTGCAAGTGCTCAGGTTTCTCTACTCCCACTCCTGGAGGTAAAGTGCCTTGTTTGGCCTGGGGCAGGGAAAGCCAGAGGGCAAAGCTTCCAACAGAAGCCCATGGAGTGGCTGGTGGTCCCGAGTACCTGCACCTTGCTGGACATTTCCTACCACTGGTTCTCCTTCGGCACCAGAGGCCTCCAGTGGGATGCATTACTCAATAACTAGAAATCTGAGTGGGAAGCTGTCTTCTTAAACATTTATAATCCGTCTCCACATTAATGAGGCCTTTGTCATAACAATCATAATCATGTATCGACTGCTATTAGGGGCCAGGCACTGTGCCCACCACTTGATTGTCAAACACCTCATTGAACTCTGTCGTAGTCAGCTGTGGCTACCATAAGAGAACACCGAAGATGGGGCAGCTTCAACAACAAACACTTATTTCTCGATACTCTGGAAGCTGGAAAGTCCAAGATCAAGGCACCGGCAGGTCCGGTGTCTGGTGAGAGCTCTCTTCCTGGCCGCACGGGCAGAGAGAGAGAGTGAGCTCTCTCTCTTCATCCCCTCACAAGGGCACTAATCCCATCGTGGAGGCCCCACCCTCATGATGTCATCACCTCCCAAAGACCCCACCCAACACCATCACCTTGGGGATTTAGGCTTCAACATGAATTTTGCAGGGACACAAACATTCAGTCCATAGCGCCCTCATACAACGTTCTGAGATGAATACTACTGTTGACATTTCACAGTGAGGCACGCTGAGGGTTAGTAGTCTGCTGGGTTTACACAGGTTAAGGAAGGTGTATTGGGCAATGTCATTGTTTGAGTCCAGGATGCTTCCCTTTCTAAAACTCCAGATGTGAATCAGGGTGCTTATGTCCCAGCACTGGGCTGATAAACAGCCTACCTCCTGAGACCACCTGGTCACAGTGACAATTCCCCATGCTGGCTGCATCAAGGCGGGATCAAGGGATCCTCTGGACATTGTCAAGCCTAGGAAATCCTTTCCCTCAGTGCCATGCATCCCTCAGGCCAGGATTCTGCATTGCTGGGGCTGTATGTATTGTAAAATATACAGCTCACCTTTACTTCCCATCGTAGTCCACTGAAGTCGCTGGAGCTCAAAGTGCTATGACTTGATTTCTAAATTTTTTTAAATTGAGATCTAAGTTGTCTACAATGAAATGCACGACTATAAGGACACAGTTTGATGAGTTTGACAAATGTGTGTGTTGTGTAGCCCCATCAAGACATATACCATTCCATCATCCCAGAAAGCTCCCGGAGGCCACCACCATCCCCATGTCTGTGCAGCTCGTTTTCTAACTGACGTGCTGGAAGGGCCCCTCCCCGGTGTGGTGCCCTGGAAGCCCCTTGTTTCTTCTGACGTGGCTGCCACTGCTCAGAGCACCCAGGAGTCCAGTTTCTGGGCCTCAGAAGAATCGACCTTGAGGTTTTATTGACCTCACATGAGGGTGTCACTGGAATGAAACGGGTACTGGCCCGTGTCCTCTGTGCTCACACCGTTGTGTGAGCAAAGAGCCCTAGGAGCGGCTGGCCCTGGGTTCAGAGAGGTCAGGGCAATTACAGCCCGAAAGGCCCCCAGAGAGCAAAGGCCCTGGGCTCCTGGCTCTAAGAGCCTAGACATGCTCTAGGACTAATCTCAAAAAACCCATAACCAGGAGATTTAAAATATCTTTTTTGGTATCTTCCTAATGAAATAAAAGCTGATTGCTTTGCAATTCAAGTTAAGCTTTTGCTTTAGCAAATCCATTGAAAGGAAATTTTTCTTTAAGGCATTTACACGAAATTGTGTTGGTGTGATAACAGAGCCCCAAATATTTTAAATCAATCACGGTTGATGTGGCAGCTTAATCTCCTTAGTGCCGTTCCCTGGAAGGTTATATATGCTGATGCTCAGATTTCCGAAGTTGGGAGCCCAAAAGCCCTGGGGAATCTGTGTTCATTTACTAATAATGGGAAGGTAAATGGTGAAGATGGCTTTTTTCTAATCTGTGACTTAACTCTTTCACTTCCAGACACGCCCTTAAAAAAGGGGGCGGGGTAGATTGGGAGCAAAAATACCCTAAAAGTATTTGCAGAGGGTCTGACTCACTCGGAGCTGTTAGTTCTGAGGAGAAACTGAGCTATGTACAGAGGAAACACCCCTGCAGTCTTCAGCCTGGTTGGCAGCAAAATGCCATATTGATTTGTTTTGTTTCCAAGAAAGGATCTTAAACATATTGAACATATCAGAATATTGAGGGCCAGGGGAGAGCAGAGGGAGGAGACCCGGGAGCTGCCAGGAGTCTCCATCCTTGAGCAAAGGTTCACCCATCCTCCGAAGGAAAATCTTCCCCAGGGGACTGAAGCATCCACGTGCTGGGATGTGCCCTCGGCACCAGCTGTGAACCAGGCTGCGCGTCGCACCGATTCTCTGGACTCCCCACTCGCGGTGGCCACCCACCGATGCTGATAAGCAAAATGCATATCTTCATTTCATGCTTCTGGGCAAATGTCATGCAGTGCCATAGAATTTTTACTTTAATATAAGATTAAAAACTGCTTAATCGTGCCCTACATCTGTTTCAAGGTTTACTAAAGTTTGTTATCTAGAAACTAAAATTAAGATGTTACTAAGAGTTTTTTGAGAACTCTAAATGAGGGTTCTGTTGAGAATTCACACTTTCATGCAAGGCTTAGCCATTTTGCAAAGCTCCTAATATGTAGGCATGTGGCACAGTTGGAATTGTCCAAATTTTTATGAAAGGCTCTTTGTTACCAGTTTACAGAATTGGTTGTATTTCTCAGTTGCTGCTATTTATATTATTTCCATTTTCATACACATGAGGTAGAATGGTGCAGCACAGAATGTATGGCTTATAATTTTCCAGTAATAAGACTTTAAGTCATTAAATGTTTCAACTGAACTGTGAGACGTTCGTACCTCTATTGCCAAAGCAGTCATATGGATAATCTGAAATAAATATCATTATTCAGTGATTCGTGGCTGTTGTGAAAGGGCTGATACCTCAGTGGAAAGCTGGAATATGCCGGGGTCATTTGAGAACCACTTCTTTCCCCACATATATACAAATCCTTATCTCCTCAACTCCTCTGAGACGGGGTGGAGGTAGGGTGGGGGCAGTGAACTTACGAAGATATTTATGGCGCACAGCCTGGAGTCATCAGGCTGGGATGACAGGGAGAGTTGAGAAAGTGGCCTAAAGGGTATTGATTTAATCTGGTTTAGTATGCATGAAACCGCAGGGCTGAATTTTAACCTGAACTAGTCTAGAGCTTCAGGGTACTTGGAAATTGTGGTCAGATCTTGGCCGGGCAGCCTTGCCCCATGGAAGGCAGCAGGAATGATGTTTAATAAGGTCTCGGCGAGCTTCCCCAGCATCAGCTCCTCTTGCTTTGTTTTAGGACCGTTCAGTCAGGCAGGGGCTGATTGACAGTGACCAGAGGGAAAAGCACGTGAGGACAGTAATGCATACTGTTGTCCCCTTCTAGCATCCTCCCCTTTCCTGCAGCCCCTGGTGCTCCTGAGCCCACCTCCTCGCTGGGGTCACAGCCCTCTCCATGGCCCCCATGGTGCTCTGTCAGCCTCCATGGGGCCCCCCAGCTTCCTCTCCACAGTCCCCCATGCTGACTGATGTTCACTCGGGAGCTAGTGTGGTGGAGGTGGGGATGTGGCTGGGCGGGCCAAAGAAACCCTCTTCCCAGAGCTGCTGAAGTTGGGGGTATGTTTAGCGCATCCTAAGTTTGAGCTCATAACATTCTGGAAACATGCTCATGCTGTAGTCAGACCTGCCATGAAAGGCCGAGAGCTGTGCTAAGCTCTCATTCAGTGCTGCCCATTGAACCCCTGAGCCCAGTCATGGGGTCTTTACTCTTCATGCTCAAACTTTCGTCTGGAGGCTGCAAAGCCAGGATAAGACTAGGGCCTATTTTGCAGTTCTTTACGCTGTTTCTTAAAGCCTCTTTTACAGTCAGCACTAATGACCTCGCAGTTTTTTATTCCAATGAGGTGCTCTGAGAGACAGCAACAAAAGGTCAGGGGGACCCCAGCTGAATAAATCTGAGTTACTTAATGATGTATGTTTTTGGTGTAATTCTAAGCCTTACGATTTTGATTATTCAAGGAGGCAGGGAGTTGAGGGGGCGAATGACTTTCATGGGAAGAAACATTATTACAACGAGAGCATTTCTGGAGATCCGTGGGATGCTTTTGAATTGTGTGCCACCCACAGGAAATCTATCCACCCTGTTTATCCAGATCACCCCAAACTTTCTAATTCCGTGAAAGCAAAACAAAATTGTTAAGTAATATTTCCCGTGGAATATGCCTATCGGCTTTGATTTCAAATTCATGGTTCATTAAATATTTGGTGAGCCGTGCGTGCTGTGTGGTGCATCGGTGCGGAGTGTCCAGGGCCCACTTCGTGCGTGCTGCGAGCAGCCCTGTCAGGCCGGACCCCCGTGATGAAGAGGACTGCCACAGTCTTCTGGCGAATAGCCTCACCTCGGACCGTCAGAGGGAGCTGGAGGATATTTGCATGCACGCCATCTTTTTATCAGTGCGACAGTGTTTCTAATGCCTCTTACACTATTTTTAAAACTCCCTGACGTACATTTAGATAATGATATTTTGAAATGCTTATGGAGCCACCCTGGAGTGTAGATTCTTGATTGGG